GAGAGAGAGAGAGAGAGAGCTTGGCGCTAATTATATAAGGCATGCTTTGGATGTATGAGGCCTTGTACTCATTTTTGACAGCCAATTAGCTTGTTTCTAGACTCTCCATAAACCACTCAACAAATTCCAATCAATCACTTCACTCTCTATATTAAACCAGCAACCACCACCATATGCCCAAGCTGGGTAGCACAATCATGAGATTCTAGTAATAGTTTATGAAAATTAAAAACGTTAACAACATATCTCTCTATCTATGAAAACCAAAAAGCCTTTCCTAATTACAAATAATTACATCCTATTTACTAATTCATATTCAAGGACATGACAATAACAAAGGCATTATAGTTTTGCATATTTCCGTAAACTAATCCAGAGTGATAATTCAGCATCAAAGCTCCCAGACATTTAGTTGGCAGTTCTAAGTGAGGTTTCAAACGTCTTTAGTCTCTTATGCATAAAAAACTCCATGGTAAAAAGTTCTCACTGGGGTTTCGACTGGTATGGCAACCCGAAACATTCAGGTTGGGGGCCCTTGGGGCCTGAGTCCTAAGTCAAAATTTCCCTACGCTTTCTTTCACCTCTTCCCCACTGCTTTCGACTGGTATGGCAACCCCAAGCATTCAGGTTGGGGCCCCTTTAGGCCTGAGTCCTAAATCAAAATTTCCCTGTGCTTTCTTTCACCTCTTCTCCCTCTCTGTCTCTCTGAGCTTCCCCGGTGCTTTCTTTCACCTCATACATCTATGTGTACAACTCTCTCATTCTTTCAAGTTTCCACAACTCACTGTAAGTGACCTTCTCAATACATTTATCAGTGGAATCTTTAAATTGTTTGATACACCCTATCCTTGAATTCTGAACACCCATTAATAATCAAATTCTTGTTATTGATACTGGCCCTCTTATCTACTCCCCTCTCAGACAGAGCAATCTTATTACAAGATCCACATCACCTTCATCCAGCCACACTTTTATTATTCATCAATAGATGCTTCATCCAGCCACACTTTTATCATTCATCAATAGATGCATTGAAGCTGACACAACATCAAGTCCTTGTTGTTAGGATATGGATATCGCGTATTAGTATTGATTAATACATCATTATGGATAGATATCAGTATATCTTTTGATCATACTGATACATATCGGTACGGATATCGATTTGTATAGATGCATATCTCTTGATAAGATTAGGTCATGTCTATCCATAACCATTGGTATTTATCTGTATTTATCTTTAACTGTTGCTGACTGTATATTTATAGGGAATCTTGTATATTCTTGATTAATCAATTTAATAGAGTTCTCTGCAGTATTCTGAAATAGTTTTCCATGGGGGCCTAAGGCCCAAATATACAGAAATACTGTTTCTAACATGGTATTAGAGTGTCATAGACTCCTCAACTCAGATCTGAGGTCTCCATAGTTTCTTTGCCTATTCGTGCTAAAAATTCCGTACCGTTTTCTCTCTCTACCGTTCACTTTGCCTGTTGTTGTCTCTGGGATCTATTGCGAACCTCTGATCTGCGTTCTACTAGAGAGAGTAGCTGCTGCTCAAGCCATACTCGAGCCGCTGATTTGCTGTTGCAAGATGTCACCTTTCTTCCATTGCTCGAGAAAGCTCCATCTTTGTCGTTGTGTGAATTCACCTTTCCTTGACGTCACCTTGATATTGCGTGACTTACATTTGCTTCTCCACTTGACGTCCCACGTCTCTCTCTTTATAAAATTGTGCCGTGCAAAAGAAAAGCCTTTTGCTTCCCACCTTGCTTCCGTTCAAATTGCAATATGTTCCCTTGACTTTGAAACTAGAGAGGGATTCTTTAGCGGTGGAGAGGGTAGAGATGAGAGCAAAGTAGCGAGGGGGTGACAAGGGGCAGCATAATAGACGGTTACATGTGATAAAAACGTGTGACGGTTACATGCAAAAAAAAGGTGCCTTGAAGCGCTAGAAATTGTAGCGATGATTCAACAGAGACGAAATCAGCCATCCTGGTCTATACATAAGCAGTTAGATTTTGTATAGACCGGTCAACAGAGCAAAGTTCTGGTTTATTAGCTCTATTTTTCCAGTGAAGGTAATTTCCATCAAAGAAGCTTTCGTGCATCTTTAGATATGGGTTTCCCTTATATCGAAGAATCGACCACAAAAAAAATCAAATTATTCTCTCGCTAGAATTTTTGGATAGTTATTGAGAATTTTGGATTTCGACTATTCTCAAGAGTCAAGGGTTCGTTATGTATTCTACTACTGTTTTTCTTGGGAATTACTCGATCCCGGATGTTCTAAAGGCCTGCTGGCCTGTTGTTGCTTGAGTTCTCTGCGAACTGCTGATTTCTGTTGGCTCTTCCAAGTGCCTCATGTTTGATGATCGAATTTCTTGATCCTGGTTGATGATCAAGTTTTCTGTTACTCTATCATGTTTAATGATTGAGTTTTTCGTTACTCAATCCTATTGGATGATGGAGTATTTTGTTACTTCATCTTGTGTGATGATCGAGTTTACTCGATCCTGTCTATTCCGGATGCCTAAGTTTTAATGATTGAGTTTTTCGTGACTCAATCCTATTGGATAATGAAGTTTTCCGTTGCTCCATCCTGTGAGATGATCAAGTATTCTGTTACTCCATCTTGTTTGTCTGTTGTTGATCGAGGTTTTCGTTACTCAATTGTGGATGTTCCTGAGGCCATATGTACCTGAGGTCTGCCACTTTTCTATGCTTGTTGTTGTTCAAGCAATCTGAAAATCACTATTCATTTTTGGCAACTTAGTTTGAACAGGTCTACCGTTTTTCTGTGCTTGTTGTTCAAATAATCTGAAAATTACTGCTCGATTTTGGCAACTTAGTATTGTTCAAACTCCAGCTACTTTGTGTCGAAACATCTTGAGTTTGAGGGGGAGTGTTAGGATATGGACATCTCGTGTTAGTATTGATTAATACATCATTATGGATACATATCAGTATATCTCTTGATCATACTGATACACATCAATACGGATATCCATTTGTATAGATACATATCTCTTGATAAGATTAGGTCGTGTCTATCCATAACCATTGGTATTTATCTGCATTTATCTTTAACTGTTACTGGCCGTATATTATACAGAGTCTTGTATATTCTTGATTAATCAATTTAATAGAGTTCTTTGCAGTATTCTGAAATAGTCTTCCATGGGGGCCTAAGGCCCAAATATACAGAAATACAGTTTCTAACTTGTTATTTTAAAAACAAAGGAGGAATTAGATAGTAATACTCTAAATCTTGGCCGTCCATGAGATGTCAATATTAACGTTTTGAGATAAGAAAAGCCTCCATTGCAATGCAACAAGAGGCATCTTACATTCTAAACAATTGAATAATGATAACAGATCAATTAAGAGACTGGTTTAGTATCAATTCATAGTTTCACTTGAAAAATCTCTTGCTGTCTATGTTATGATAAGTAACTCACAAGCACACTACATAGAGATGCATCAATATACTTGGCAACCTTCTTATTTGCAAATAAAAACCCAAACTACAGCATAAAAGCCTCTAGTACGTGTAAGGCTTTGAGTAGAATTCAGGCAAATGAAACAAGGATTTTCGAACAATGGAGGCTAAATTCATCACAAGTCACATGAATGGAACATGGTTCACACAAGCCACAACAAGAGCAAAAATGCTCACAATAGAGGCCTCCAATTCAAGCAAACAGTACCATTTTTAACATCCAAATGCCTAACATATTCTCTTCTTTTTTAAAATACAAGTCTGTTTCCTTTTTTTGGTGTTCATCATGCAATTTTCCCTTTTCTTATGGCTACGACAAAGTTAGCAAAAGTTACCTTCACCAAATCCCAACCCCACCTCCCACCCCTCAAACAAAACCACATGCAAGCGATAAATAAACAGGCACAAGCACCCAAAAAAAAAAAAAAATTCCATTGGGAGGTTTGAAAGGAACACTACCTCCCTCTTAAGCACGGCAAGGAATTTAACTCTTTAACATTTTAGGTTGTTTGAACTATTTTAAATTTTAATATGGCACTTAAACTTGGAAATTGAAATCACAGCACCTCAAGACATCTGTAAATAGCTAAAGTTTCCAGTAATTTTCTTTCTATCTTCAGATTATTCAAAAGAAAACAGAAATTTGATACAGCAAATTATCTATAAACCTGTAGTCATCCATATTCCATACATAACATAGAAAAAAACAACAGTAATAAAGTGCTCACAAACATGTATTTGTGTGAGAGAGAGAGGGTGAAAGAGAGAGAGAGAGAAAGAGAGAGAGAAAGAGAGGCATATTGACAAGTTCCAATTGCCAGTAAAGTCTGCCTAAAGAAAAAAAAATTTATGCCAAAGTAGGAAACGGTGTGCACAACTGAGTAGAAGACAATCTCAGATGTTCAGTAGATGAATGCATAAAACAAAGCAAAATAAAGAACAAAAAAATAACAAGGAATAGCAAAAGAAATGCAAAAAAATACGATATTAAGGTTAAAAGTAAGTCAAAATGGAAAATAATGATCAATAGAAAGAAAGCATTGGAATTTCAAGAGAATAACTATCTGCATCAGAATCTCCATTATAACATGTGGAAAACCAGGCATCATAGATAAAGATAACCTATCCACAACCAAATCATAGATCTATAAAGATCTACTCTATAGAGAAACATATACACATATGACACTCATAATTACACAATTGGCGCTGCCAAAATCAGATGTTCAAGCCACTTACAAGGATCAAACAGTAAATCAAAGAAAGGAATCACCAAGAATCATCACCCTGATGACTAAAAAGCAATGAAATAGAACTTTCACTTAAAACCAAGAGAGACCTCAGGAAAAGATGATTAATCTCTCAGATCTCTTCATGCTTCAATTTTCTAACAGTCTATTAAAGCAAAAACTCACCAAAAACCAAGGAATTAACTGAAAATCCCGAAAAACAAGCAATACAAAACATGAGTTTGAACCATTAACCAAAGAAATATCACTTCATCAACCCTAATCAGAGCTCTTCTTTCACTACCAGACCAGAAATCGTAGAAAAAAAGGGAATATATATAT